TAAATACAGGATCTGTGCAGGAAGACATGTATAAACCAGGTTTAAGGTGTTTTTTTTTTGTTTTGGTTTTTTGTTTTGTTTTTTGTGGTTGTTTGTTTGTTTGTTTTTTAAGGTGTCAGGAACAGCAGAAATTTAAGATATGGTATTGAGGATAAAAAAATTCCTAATTGACCTAAATGATCTAGCAAGACTTGATTCAAAAGCTGACCTGTTCTAAGTGCATTGGTAGCCAGCAGGAGCTAGGGTGAAGTTCTCTACCAAATAAATATTAATTTTTGAGGACTCTGGCTTGAATATCACTGAATACTGGTCAAAGAAGAATTAGTCAAAGTAGCTATCTGCAGATAATCTGTTTTTTCTTGTTCTGACCATTTCATATGAGACACTCAGAAGGATATTAATCTTTTGAAAACTATCAGATTTTGACTGTAACCTACAGCTAAAGTATCTTAGAATTTTGTATCTCAGTTACCTTTGCTGTCTTAGTAATGAAATTATACAATTATGTCAATTTTCTTAACTTTATCCTACAGTGCAGTGAGGTTTGTAGCAATGGAGTTTATTATCCAAAAACATGTACTTGCTACTGAATTAACTGATCTGAACTATGCTGCTTTCTCTGATTTTGCTGACAATTTATTCTGTTGGAGTTCATGGTTTTATACTTAAGATGCCTTCTTTGAATGGCTTAACTAGAAAGGGCTAAGCCTTTTCTATTGCATAATCAACAGAGGATTTTTATTTTCAAGATTTCTTCTGAACTTGAATAATACTGTTGTTTACCAATAGCTTTCTTCTAGGCAAAGGAGTGACAGACTCTGGATGCTCATTAGTAGTGCTATTGTAGGTAGAGTAGATGAGATTGTCAAGTAAGGTGTGGTTTAGGGACATGCTGTTTTTTCCCAGAGGACTTCAGAAAAGATGTGCCTTGTAATACTATTAGGTGACAGGTATGTTGGATTATTTCTCAGAACATCTTCCCAGTGGTCAGGCTGGTTTTATGGACATCTACGAAATTGAGGTAGTTAACAAAGACAAGAAATGGACAGATATTTTCCAACTGACAAATTAGATATTTCTACCCAGGTGTTCTAGTTATGTAGTAGTTATGTGATATTAAATTTGCCTCATGGGGAAACAGTGTAAGAATGTGCTCAAATGATAGGCACTGCAGTAATAGTAAGTATGATCTTACGTTGCCCATGCATATCACTTCAGTGTGTCTGAGCTGGAATTTTAAGTCCTTATCAGGGAGATGAATGATTGTAGACTCTGTCCTTTGCATCAGGGGAAAACACAAAACCATACAGAATACAAACACATCTTTCTCAATCTGTGACTCTTGGATTTCTGTGAAAGGCATAATGGGTATCTAGAACTTTACTTGCACTACAGCTATTATGTAAGGTAAGAAAAAGGCTGGTTAGAAACTTTTGCAAGCTTTTCTCTAGAAAGTCCTAGCAGTTCCAGTAAACATGTTTGTTCAGATTTGAAGTCCTATGTTTACTATGCTTTGTTGTTTCAGTTGAGTGGGGTTTTTTTTAAGAAAACTAACATACACGTGCAATATATTTTTACTCTTGAAGATACTTCCTTCTTAGTTCAGCTAAAGATCAAATAACTGAAAATGAGAGGTTTTTACTTGGGTGTTTTTACTGAAGCATGTTAGATGTCTGCGCTCTTCAGTCTTCTCTCTTCCTAAAGTTGGCTGTTCGCAAAGTTGTCCAGCATAACTGATGGAGAGATGATTCCACATTTCTCTGCTTGAGTTGCGCTGTGCATAACTCTCATCTGTTACAGAAGAATGGAAAAATAAGTGCTTGCCAGTGATCTCCCAGCAGGCAAATGCAAATTGCATACGTGCATTCTGAATTCCAGTAAGGCTGGCTTTTGGTCTTCCTTCCTTCATCTTCTGCTTGTATAATTCAACAGAGTTTGATTTCCTCATCAGCCAGATGAGCAGTCTCTGCTTCAGGCATTCACTTTTACCAGTGTAGCTGTCTCTATCTCTGCTCAGCCACAATGCATGGAACAGGAATGGGCTGCTGAGAGCAAATACCACTTAAGCTACCATTGCTGCTAAGATAGCCACACAGCCATAATTTGAATATACTGATCTAAAGCTTACCTGAAAGTGAGTCACAGAGAATTTAGGAATTACAAAAGTGCAAATATGTATTAAAGACAGGTCTGCAGGAAGAAAGTTTAGAGCATCTTTTTTAAGATGTATCAAAAAGCAGCTTTCTGATGCTATAACTGATGTCCATCATTTGTGAGGTGATGTTTAAAAGTATGGACTTAATTAGAATGCTAAGCCCATGGTATTACCAAGCTTTTAGGAGAATGGGAAATACTGGTCTAACAGTACTCCAGTTGGAAATGCAAAATTTAATAGTTGAAATTACTAACTGGCTATAGAACTTTTAACTGCAGACTTCAACTTGCTGAATTCAGCTTTGAATGGAACACCAAGCACAAGGGGTTTCTTTTCAGGAGGTTCTGGCTTTTACTTCTAAAACACAGTGGAAGAATACTTCTGCAGAATTTTCAAAATTGTTATATTATATTAAATGCTTCAAAAAGGATAAAGCACCTAAATAGCTTCATAGAGTTTTTAGTTCTGAACTTTAGTTAATTCTCCTTACTTTAACTGATTAATATGAATGTCTTAGTGCAGCTTCCATGTTTGAAAAGGTGAAAAAGAATTCATCAAAAACTCCTACACCTGCAAACCTGCAAATCAAGACTTTGTTCAGTCTTGGTTCTGTATAGAATGAAGAACCACTTAGCAAATGTAGAGAGAATTCATTATCTTTTATTACAGTGGATGAACAACTCTCTCTTTAGGGTGGAAGTTGTGCATTGTGTCAAGTAAGCAAGCAAAATATAACTCCTAGGTTTAGTTTTGGCTTTGTCATATAGGTACAATAAGGAAGAATTATTGCATGAATTTGCAGTACTAGTGCATTCCCCTGTGCTCTCACTTTCCCCAAAAAGTCAAGTAGCCCATTGAATGCCTCTTTGAAGAAAGGGATGTTACCTTAGGTTTTACTGTATGTTGGAAACATGCCCTTGGTAGATTGCAGTTTACTAGCTAGCCTGTGGCATACACTGCTGCTCTTTTCTGTCTCCTTTTTTCTGTCTTTTACTTCGTCAAAATCTTTGATTGTGGGTGACACCTTACAGTTCTGGGGGGCAGTGCTGGCAGTGGTGGTATTGTGCTGTCATAGTGTGGATCAGGGCACATCAGATTATAGCTCTTTCTGTTGCTCAATCAATGAGCTTGTTTGTTTGTTGGCTTGTTTTAAAGCAGCTATGATTTGGTTATCCACGAAAGGTCAGAGTCCAGGACTAGCTGGTTATGAGGCAGAATAAACAGTGTTTTTCTGGTACTTCTCTGGCCAGAGTTTGGAAATTTGCAAAGGACTGGATATTGTGATGTTTTAAACATTAGGATTCAGCTTGAGGATCATTAGTGCTTTGCTTCCAGCATTATTAAGTGTGTATTTAATCATCGGGAAAACCAGCATTTGATGCCTACACTCTGTAAAATAACATGATAAGGTTCTTCAAATTTCTCTGGACTGTGTAATTTTTTTCTTAATGTTCTTATTTTGGAATACTGAGTTTAGATTTTAGCAGTGAATTGCTTATAATGGCTTTGTCTATTTGGTCTTGTCTTCTGAAGAAAATTCTATAAACATGATCAAATGCAAAAGCTTTATTACTCAGGGAATATTTAAGTTTTTTCTGAATTAAAAACTATCCACTCTAGGGTGCTGGTGCCTTAGTAGCAAAAAAGTTTACTGAACTAACTTAGTCCTACTAAAATATTACACATTTACATAGTACGAAGACTTAAGTAGCCCAAAGAAAATGCTTAATGTGTCTTGTAATTTTATTGAACCTTTAACAGGATGCATTCAGCTTTATTCTTGTGATGTAATTTATGATAAACAATCTGGGGAAGACATTTACATTTGTGTATTTTGAGCATTTTTGGTAGTCAAATTGTTAGGAGCTGGATAAAATGGTTTGTTATCCCAAAGCTGCATCATGAATCTAATCTTTTCATACTGAGAGGAAACAACCCATGCAGCTTATTTGGAGAGGTAAGAGTCACTACTGTGCAAATTAAGTAAGAAGTAGTGTCCCTTCATTGTGCCATATTCAGTGGCAGAGGCTATATCTTAAGGTGCTTTTGTGTTTGGGACATTTCTCACTTCTGAGTAGTGAGATGGTGTACATGGAATATGTGTAAATGCAATCATATTCTGAGGTAAAATGCTCTTAGCCCAAAATATCTATTTTTTAATCTTCCCTGCTGTAAGCAGCCTTCTGGCTAAAAGCTATCCTGGTCTAAGGAATGCTCTCACATCCTCTGTGGAGTAGAATCTGGGAGGGCTCAAGGCTCTTGTTTCTGAAAAGCATAATGCTCATCTTCCAGGGCTGCTTTTGTGAGTTTGCCATTTCTAACAGCCACTGGCCACAGAAGCACTGAGGCTCCTGAGCACTTTGTGGTGCAAACACTCTGTAACCCTCGTGGCTGGAGAGGGTGTTCTGACAGTGGGAGACAGTGCATGGAGGGAGCTCTGTCCTGGCCACATCTTTTGTGTCTTTGCCCTAAAACCCTGTGTGTTGATGAAGAGCTATTTTACACAGCTTTGTTAATTTGCACTGGTGTGTGTTTCATTTTGAACTTCATCTGAAGTTCTGTGATGTGGAAACAACTTTTTTACTGAAGCTTTTTTACCTTTTGGGGAGGGCTTTTGCCTTGTAGTTCAATACAGTGATTTAGGATACTTTTCAGAGTTCATTAATGATTTAGTGGATGCTGCTTAAGGTGTAGTTAAACCATACTCGGAACAAATATGAATTGGCAGCAGCTGCCAGTTCTGCATTTCTGTCATTGGTACTTGTTTGGCCTTTCATTTCCTAAGCTGGTTTGGAGATCTCAAGTGACAGGAAATAATTGACTTTTTCTGGATTAGTTTGGTTCCATCCTACTGTGGTGCGTAAGAAGAGAGAATGCTGGGGAAAACACTGCTTGCAACAGCATAGAGCTACAGGCATAGAACTTACTGAACTCCTGCAATTCTTCAAAAGGTGGTAAAGTAGTCCTTTTGAGCAATTTTGTGCTTATGACACTTTTTAGTAGTTGAAAAGCACTACTGAGTGTATGGAAGAGGCAAGCCATAATGAAATGTTGTTGTAGCTCTGTTCTTCCATCAGTGGAGTTAAAGTCAAGGTCTGCAGTAGGTCTCCTTTATCACTCACCTCATCCAGTGTGCTGTTATCAGTTTAAAATTTTCACTGTCACAATAAAACTTCTATTTCCCTCCTGTCCCAGAAAAGCTGGCTGTTACCCAGAATTTTTTCTACAATAGTTCCTTCTACCAATGTATTCTTATGACAGCTTCTGTAAGATTCAGTGTTTTATAAGACTAAATATGTAGTCCCTGATCCATGAAGAATTTTGTGCGTTTGTATCCTGTTCAAAGCAATGGGTAGATGCTGTTGTTGAGCCACGTATCTGAATTGTTGGTTATTCACTACTTCTACATTTTAAGGTGAATTTCTGGCTAATTTTACAGAAACTATTTTTAAAGAAATGTAATGATTCCTATTTCAGGGGATCTGAAATACTTTGCAGTTGAAGCTTATTGCTTTTGTTTTAAACTCTTGTGCATTTTATATCTAAGGAAGCAGAATAAATAGCTCACAAATTACACATGCTGCCTGTGGTGGTTTTAAGTCTTGCCAAATGCACAAGGAGTGTACTCTGTCATCTGAGCAGGTGAATAAAATTAAGACAGCACAATGATGCTAGCAGGCATGCAAGAGCTATTTCTTCTCTTACGGAATTTAGGGACTTGAAAGGCAGGTAATAGGGTGATGACTTTTTAAGTGCTTGTAAGTGTTACTGAGGGAAATAGAGAAAAATATTAATCTGATTCTTTGTTGGTATAAATCTTGAATATTGTGTTTAGAGAGTTTACTGAAAGATCTTTACACATCCAGGCACTGCTTCAGTTCGAACACTTCTATTTAGGAAAGAGTTGTATTAATGAAAAAATTAATGTACAAATCTGTTGTACACCATCTGGAGTAGCTAACTACTTCTTTGTTTCTTTCTAGGAAATACCAAAATAAAGCAGATGTTGTGTCCTGTACTGTTATCTCAAGGTTTAGCAAGAGATTCTGTTACGTGCTTCTTGGCAGCAGGAATGTAAACTAATTCTTTCAGCACTGAACTAGAACCTTGACAAGGTTAAAATTACAGGTAAGAACAAATTCTGCTACTAGGAAATTTACAGGAATATGTAATTCCTTTTACTTTGACTGTGTTTTTAATTTGCAGTTTGTAATTGACCATGGATTTAATGGAAATTTCTGAACAGATTGGGTAAAATTATATTTTTTCTTCTTTAAATATATTTGAATTTTGCTTGCTGTTATTTTTTAATAGGGAGGAAATATAATTTCAAGTACAACTTCTTTCTGTTACAATACAAAGCGCTGTTAATAAATGGGGGACAGAGAAATGTAATTTTTCACCACAGTAAATGTCTGCTGACCAGATCTTGGAGAAGTTATGTTCTCACACTGAAGACTATACAGTGTCAGTAAAAGTCATGAAGTGTTTTGCCTGTTGTGTGTTGACATCAGTTTACTATCTGCAAGTGACTTTTTTCCCTACAAGGAAATTTATTTTTTTTATTACATTTATTTAAAATGTATTTCCTTAAATGCACTAACACTAGCAGTGCTACTTAAATTACCTGTTTTAATCAGTTACAGAAAATCTCTATATTTCCCTTATAAAGTTCCCTATAGCTTCAGCTTTTTAATCACCTTTTCAAGGGTAAAGGTTGATGTTTTCTTCCAGGTCAATGAAAATGCTTTGGATGCTGATTTTCTGTCATTAACTTTATCTGATGATGACAGAGACCTCTTGTCACACTCTGTCACCTTCTTCTGAACTCATGTATAGGGAACTAAGAGTCAATGTTCTTTGAATCCTTTTTAAAAAAAGGATAAATACAATGCTGTAAGACCATAGTAATGGGAAAAAAATCCCATATCACCACAAATACCTGTCATAGAGATTGCACATTTTGAGTTGTATGTTTCTGAAAAATATAGTTCTGTCTTTAAGCTGGGACTATGTGTTTTGAAGACTGTCTTTGACATGGGTTTATGGCATGTGTCTTGTCTTCAGAATTATGATCAAGTGAAGGTTTTTCATTCTTTTTTCACATTTTGATGTTTTTGACAAAGACTTGCCTCTTTTCAGTAGTGGCAGGCAGGAGTCTGGACTGTTGGTCTGAAGCAGTTCTATCTGTCTTACTCTGAAGTTCAATAATACATAGGTTGTAAGTCAGTGACATGTTTGTGCCAAGGAGGTGGTGTTGATTTTTCTGCTGCTAAAATGAAAGAAGGGTTCAAATGTGGTTTGTTTTGAGGTTTTCATTAGTGTTGTGTTGACTGAATGTTAGTACTTGTTTTGTGGTGATGTAACATGTTGAAAAAAGGCGCAACCTTTCTTACACTGTGCAAGTCACACTTAATTTGAGTGGACCTTTAGCATTCATCCAGTCCCAACCCTTGTGTCTGGCTTCCTCAGATTTTTGTGTGAATCAGGAAACCACCCCTCAATTATGAAAATAAAGGTGTATTGGTTGACTGTGGTTTTGCAGACCTGCTGCAGAACACTTAGTCTGGTGTTTCAGACCTGTTTAGGAATAATTCACAGATGATACGAGTAGGTGATTCATTGCTGCTCTATTCTCACAAAAGTCTGTCTGAAGCTTTTTGTAAATGGACTTTGCAAAAAGTAAAAAAAGTTATCTTAAATGCCTAAAGTTAGAGCAAGGGAGAGCTCACTCTTAGTGACATAATGTGTCATGCTAATGGGTAAAATTTTTCAGTTTTAATACTAGTAGTGTAGTGGATAAATCTTGGTTCTTTGTTGCCTTCTGGGTCTGCAGAATCACGTCCAGGGAGGCTACAGTTACCAGTGACCAACATGGGACCAAATGAGACAGGCCTCTGCTCAGGAAACCGTTTATTCACCACAGGAACAGACAGAGAGCTCAGAAGAGAGGCAGGGTGGTGGGTTTTGTGGGACAGAACCAGGGTGGAGTTTAAGGTCAGGGACCACTAGGAACACAGCAAAGGAGAAACCCCAGGGACTCAAACCCAGTCATCCAGTCAAACCCAGAACACCCTGGACTGCCACCCCAGGAGGGTCGGGGTGGAGCAACTCTTCCTTGGCTCATAGGGCACATCCCCTGAGGCAGAGGAATGGAATTTACTCTTCATGGGCTTTAAAGCCATGCCTCTCACTTTAACAATGCATACCTGAAACTAAATCTTTGCCTCCATGGTGGGGGGGACTTCACAGTTCTTTTTCTTCAAAATCTGAGGTGCTGTTTCTGTAGTAAAAGTCTGGCTGCTGTTTGTTAGATTGATGATTGAAAAGGAGCAAACTAAATTTAACACAAAGTACTTGGTCTTTTATTGAATTTAGAGAATCAAAACAGTTGTTCTGCATAGAAATAATTAAAAACTTTATTTGTGAAGGATCACTTTTATGCTAAGTTAATGCTTTGTAGTGTCCAAATGCCACCTGTGCATCCGTTTTGAACAGCCCAGTAAAAAAGTGAGAATGTGATTTTTGGCTACAGGAAATATGAGCAGGTAAGGACAAGGAATTTCAGCAAATATCATAGGATATAAGTCTTGTCATAGCATGGTCAGAAGGGATAAGCAGCAGTACAGTGTAGATTTCCATGTGGTGTAATAAAGCCACACTGAGTTGCAGGGTTTGAGTTAAGGACAAAATGTGATTTCAAGGATAATAAGCCTGGACAGGTAATATCTGAATTAACCAGGTAGGCCTGTTTCACTGAAGTGCTAGTGCACCAAATTTCTATTCAAAGAAAATGGTACAAGAGCATGAATGCTGACTTAGGCTGAGCTATCTTTACTTCTAAAGACTTCCATCCTATTCGCAGGCAGGTGCTGGCAGCAGTAATCTGCTTTGCGCTGTCTGGGTCCAGCCTTGTTTTGTTTGGTGAACCAACCTGAGTATTTGCCTATGTTATGAACTAATTTTTATATAGTTACTCTGTAACTCAGATCAACTGTTTGCAGGTAACTACAGTGATTGGATTTCCCAGTCTTAGAAGTGTTTAGGGGAAGTCTTGGTAAAAATAGCTGAACATGTTACCGGAAAACCTAAGATGAGTGACATCAATTAAGACATTGACAAGAGTAGTCTCTTACTGAGAATGACACTGCATACTTCTTCAGTTAAGTCCCTAGCAGTGGTGCTAATCTGAGCTAAGGCTGCTGATAATAAGAGCTCACACTAGCAAACACAGAATTCTGTGTAGCTAAGAAAAGTACTGTTGTAAGTTTTCATTCGGCCACAGAACTGTGTGAAATTAACATCTGCTACTTTTAATAAGAAGGAAGTTGCATGGTAAAAGTTCTGTGACTAAAAAATTCATCAACCTGGGCACTGATGACCTTGTACTAAATGCAGTAATTAGAAAGCTAGATTCAGAGTCCACTTTCAAGGTTTTGTGAAGTTCATCTTGAATATCTGAGGTATGATCTCTATACCTATTGAGCTGCATTCCAGAAAAAATAAGCCTCAGCATGAAGTATGCAGTTTGTCCATGGGAGACAGATGGTTGTCACATAAGCTGATCTGGAAGATCTGTAATTAAGTAGCATCATCCATGTTTTAGTAAAGTGCAAGAAAGCAGACTATAAAATTAATCTCTGAAAGGACCACAAGGATGTTTTTCTTGTGTTAACATAGCTAGAAAGGTTATAGCCCTTAACCTAGCTCCTGGTGCTTTTTTCTATTTCTTTGTCTTTTCTGTTGAAAGTTACAGCCCCCTTGGATCTGCTATCTAAACTGCTGCTTCCAAACCCACTGCAGATAAAATCACGAAGTTTCAAAATACTAAAGCTAGCTTTGCTCTTTTTTGGTGAAACAGTTCAGAGAGTAAGGACAAAAACATCTCAACGAGCAATTCTGAAAGAAAGGAAATTGCTGGCACAATGTAGGGGTGAGTAGCTGAGGCAGAGCAGAAATGTTAATGTTTTCAGGTAGTGCTACTGACATTGAAAACAGATGTGATTCTACAGCATTAAATTACGCCTCTGATTGTTTTGTACTTCCAGACTAATTTGAAGTAGCTGAAGTTCATTCTGAAATCTTCATCTCCTTTATAACATGCTGATTAAAAGAATGTGGTGGGGAAAAGATGTGTTTCGTTTATCCTTGTTATTAGTTCTTTTCCCCACCTGTGGTAACAATAGAGGTGCTGAAATTAATTTTAAAATTACAGCCGTAGCTCTTAGGCATGTATGCTACCTGATAATTGGGAGGACTTGCAAAATTTTCTTTACTTCCTGGTTTAGAAGCCTCTTTGGCTTCTTTCGCAACAGCTTGGCAGGAAGGGTTTTTGGTGGGAGGCTCGATATTGATATATTCTGTTGATACGTAATTTCTTTCTGTTAGTATCTTTGGTCAGCTGACATCCTTTCTAAAGCCAACACACATGGCCACAGATTACCTAAAAACAAACCCAAATCCTCCAGATGAAACCCAGGAATGGTAATAACTGTTCTTCTGTGTAGTTAATTTTTAAGTGAAAATAGAATATTCAGATCTTATTCTTAGGTTGCAATCATTTGTTTGACTCTGCCAGCATTTTTGGCTGCATAGTTAGAATAGCTGTTACAACCAAGCTCCAAAAACTATTGGCCTGAGGTAAATTCATGTAGTGCCAATATTTTGAAGATTGGTAAGTTTGAAGCAAGACCAAATTTTCTGGGATCAAAAATCAAAACTATCTGCAGTATGTGTAGACAGATGTGCTGAATAAAGTCTGTGTGCACATAACACACACTAGAGAGAGAGACTGCAAGATGGAGACAGTGGAGCTTTCTGCCAAGACTAAACTTTGATTTATTTTTTTTACTTAAACCAGGAAAGTTATTTCTTCCTGCATTTCACATAAGTTTTGAAATTGTTTGTCATGGATACTTTGATTATTTGTATCATTTGCATCTTTAATATCTAGTGCAGCATTTTTTCTTTTGAAATGTCATTCTTTTTTTATAGCTGGAGCACATGTGCTTTGTAACAGGAAACTCTGGCAATGTTTCTTTTCCACAGCACTGACTTATAAGAAATGACTAGCCTGTTGAGAGAATCCTTCTGAGGAAGAGACGTTTTACAGTACACTTTTATGATCT